GAAAGCGCCACTATTGCGGAGGGGTTGTCTTGTCCCCTCCACCTTACGTTCATTACAAATAATTACCAATTGTAACCTTTACAATATATAGTGCCCACCATTTTTTTTAACTTGTCAATTTCTTTGTATCTTCAATATATCGATTAACCAAACTTTATATTTCAGATGTTATTATTTACACATATTACCTACATCAATTTTTTTTACCATTATATATTACTAATATTATTTATAATTGTAGTGTTTATATATTGCCCGTTTTTGTTTTTTTAGCTTCGAGATTCAGCATTATTAATGCTTTTCGCTTTCCTTATCATAAATGAAAGAAGTTTATTAACTTAAGTTTTGTTTTAATTGTGACACTTTATCTCTAATTGTACATTATCTAAGTATGTCCAATATTAATACAATTCAGGAAGAATTAAACAATTTTCTATAAGGGTTTTGATGCTGGATAAGGGTTATACTTATCAATTATATGTTACTTAAATCTTCTAGCAAGAAGAATTAAACAATTTTCTATAATGCTTTTGATGTTGGATAAGGGTTATATTTTTCAATTATATGTTACTTAAATCTTCTAGCAATAAAACACATTTTCAGTCTACTCAGGTACCTACTGGCAATACCAGATGATATCTTTGAAGAAGAATTAAACAGTTAATTATTTTAGCAAGAAGAATTAAACAATTTTCTATAATGCTTTTGATGCTGGATAAGAGTTATATTTTTCAATTATATGTTACTTAAATCTTCTAGCAATAAATATATTATACCCACATATTCAATTATAATTAACTGTTTATTTTTATATGTATATTCAAGTAAAATTTTATTTTTTTATGAAATGAACACATTCTAACTTTATAGTTTTGTTTATAGTTCAAGTGATATGTTCATAGTTTTAATTGTTTTGTTTATAATTTTAAATGCTCTGTACATAGTTTTATCTGTATTGTATATAGCTTGCGCACCTAAGGTTTTCTTTACTTTTTATTTTATTTTATCAATTTTATTTATTGTTTCAAACGTTTAGGCCAGTAATATTCTATTATTTTGTACATTATTGTTATTCTGAAGGGACTTAGTCCCAGAATAAAGTTTTTTTTTCTATATATCTATCTAAAAGTAGATACAGATAATGTAAGTAGACAGCAATGGAAATGGCTAGGGATAACTGGTCAGATAATTTAAATAACCAAATGTGAATAATTGAGATGCATAGGTAAAAATATATTCAAAAGCATCTGTTATAAATGTTACAGGCTCAAGTTGACATAATTTAGCTAATGTTTGAAAAAGATTACTGCTTAACTAAATACCTCTTGGAGCTTTGCGTTTTATATATATATACAGGTTGCTAAGATACTTGTCTATCATACAGATACGATGATTGGCATAGTTAATTATGTAGAAAATGTACGGTTCCTAGGGGAATATACAAGGGACCAATCGCTAAGAACTCGTAATGTTGCTGACAAGTTCAGATTTAAAGGAATGTCAGTAGTGTTTTCTTCTTTGATTATTTTAAATTAAATGAATCGCTAGAGCTCTCCTACGTGATCCTGAAACATTTCCCTTAGAATCTGGTAATGCCAGTATGTACCTCAGTAGACTGAAAATGTGTTTTATTGCTAGAAGATTTAAGTAACATATAAATGAAAAACATAACCCTTATCCAGCATTAAAACACATATAGAAAATTGTAAATTTTTTAGTACATACAATCTAAAATATAGCATGGTCAAGCATAAAGTATTTAAAAATTGAATATATACAATCTAAATATCTAAAATATACAATGATCAACCATCAAATATTTAAAAATTTAAGTTAATGAAGTTGTTTAATGTTTAACAAATTGTTTAAGACAGTATGCTGCACATTAGACTGAAAATGTGACAGAATATATCTAAAAAGTATAAGCATAAATATATTATGTGGATATATAAAAAGTATAAGCATAAAAATATTATGTGGATAAGATGGAAATGGGTGTTCAACTGATGCTTATTTAATGGTGGGTAAGGAATAGTTAATTTAAAAAAAGGCGGGTAATATATAACCTAAACGATCTAATTTCTATATTTACTGAAAACAGAGGTAAGGTGGAGGGGACAAGACAACCCCTCGCAATAGTGGCGCTTTCTGGTGCTAGATTTCGTAAACGTTATCAGAACACGGGACATAATACCAGTTCAACCAAGATGGCGAGTGGAGGACCATTCGTAAATAATTACCATGTTTATTTTATGCAAGCACTGTTCCGCACTGCCACACTGTCGTAACAGTGCTCCACGACAGGAAACTATGAAAACGAAGCTTAACTTGAAGAAACTTAATCCTCGGATATTGCAAGAGGTAAGAGGTTATGGGAGCGGTTACTTTCCATTTCTATTGGACGGTTCACTTTCACTAGCCCCTCCCACTAGATCAACATTGGCTGTGCTCCCGCAGCCTTCTTCAAGGTCGCCATGTTAATCGGGTTACACTGTTCATTTCGTATTATGTGTACAACTAAGTTAGCAGAATGATTGATAAATTAGTTTGGTGAAAGTGTAAATACCGAATACTTTTGTTTTGTTTCTACAACCTTCTAATTTTAAGGAAAATTTATTTTTCCTTAATTATATGTTTTACTAAATTTTGTTTAACAGTTGTTTCGGTTATTTAATTTTATTATTTTTGTGAGTTTCAATACCCTATAACATTAAATTAAATATTAATTCACTCAGCAGTAACCCAAATTAAAAAAACTGGTAGATCCGCTCATAAGACTTTCCTTATAGCTTTCGGTGATAGTTCCAGTACTTCGCTGTATCTTTGGCAATATTTGACCGATTAAGATTATTTATTTTAATTATTATTTTATTAATTAGATTTAAAATAGCATCTGGAATGTATTGCGAGATGAATAATTTTCTATTTTTTTAAAAGATTAAAAACTAGTCCCGTTCGTAAGCACAGACTGCTTTAAAATCTATATAAAAGTGCGTAGTACAGATTACAATAAATTGAATCTTTGATAATACTTGTCCAATTTAGATAAATATGTTTTTATTGAATAGGCCAATGTCTATTCAATAGAAATTTAATCCTTTATTACAGAATCTAGGAGATTTTTAAAGAATTTAGGATTACGCCCATGTCTTCCAAATTTTTGTTTTCGGACATATAAATCTATAATAATACTGTTTGATGCACGGAACCTCAAAGGTCTTGGTATATGAAAATGGATTCCACTGCCTTGCCCTAAAATAAATTGTTTCAAGATTCGTTACAGAAAAAATTAAAAGCTAGAGGAAGAACCATCATGAGTGATGCTGTGGATGTAGCTGCTACTAGCTGCGAGGTCTAGGGGTATCGCTAGTAGAAAAGAGAAAGGGACAGAATAACGTTTCCATTTTGAGCTCATGTTCTCTTGACAAAATTGAGTTCTCACTTATAACCATTATTCTATCTTGGTTTTCCGTGAAAAAAAAACAAAAACAACTATATAAACTTAAAAATAAATACAGAAGGGATTCCATTTAACGCTCACCTCTAGCCTGAGGCACTACTTTGACCCTGTTTGATGAAAGTTACTCTTCCATAGTTGGTGGTTGGAGGAGAGCGAATTAGATATTGATGTTGTATGATTAGCGAGACCAAACATGTTACCTTCGTTGTGACAGTTTCACTTGAGATGTGTCCCCGTGTCTGAATATCTGAAGAGCTTTGAAAGGCATAGATCCGTTCAAAACTACACATCTAAAATTTGTCCTTATTACATAATTTTCTTACTCAGTTGCATTAGGAACTAGATGTATTTAACAACCACTCTATTTAACTGCGCAGTCCAGTTAATATGGTATGACGACTATGGCATTGTTAGTAGCTCGGAAGGTGCCTTAAATGAGTCATTCATAGCTTTAAACAATTTAAAAAAAAGGTCGATCGTTTGTCAACAAGAAAAAAAAACAAAAAACAAATATATGAGAGTTGGAGACTGTATAGCAGGAATTGGAACCTTTGACTTTGAACTATACAAGTTTGAAAGAATGAGCAGGTTTTCATAGCTGGGAACTGAAGTAAATTCGCAAAATAATATCTCCAAAGAGAACTGCAGGAGGATCGTAACACCTAGTCGGTTCTTTGGCTTAAAAAAACATTTGAGGAGTAGATTCCTAAGTATGGGCCTTACCAACGTGGACGAGCAGGACTTTTTCTTTTTGAAAGATGCATATTAAGAAAAACATATTGATACATAACTGAACATAATATTGATTTTGGTCCGATTAGAGAGGGTGATGTCTGGAAAAAGAAAAAGAAAATTGAATCCGGAATTCGGAGGTACATATATCGTCAAGTTATGGAAGACTTCGAGGGAATGCGCACGTGGAAGGAATGCTGCAACGAGATTCCCATGAAAATTCTAAATTATGAATTTCTTGGCAAGAATACAGTGGAAAGGCCGAACATTAGATGGTTTCTGCATATCGTGCAGACTGGCGGATGCTGTAGGAGGAGGTTTGGGCCTGATGACGGGATATAGTGCCAATGGTGATGATGATAGACTACAGAATTAATAAAAAGAGATCTCTAACACTGTGCGCTTTTCTCCTACATTCCTCCTTCCACTTTTCCTCAACAACAAATCAAGGTGTCCAAAATATCTAATCTAATCAAAATATTACGTTATGTATGACCAACATAACTAGTGCCGGCCTTAGACAATCGGCGACCCCGGGAAATGACTTCTTTTTAATGAATTTATTTTTTATTTTTTTTTTTTTTTTTAGACTTCGTATGAATTAACCTGACACATGGGTGAACCGGACCTCCCTTCTGTTTTTTGTTATGTAGTATTTGAATTTAATTTCATTCAATAATTCTGTAATACAGTTTCTTTATTGATAGTCTAAAATTAGTTATTTTAATAAGTTTATATATATATATATATTGACCGGTTAGGAGGTAAATGAAAATATAATCCGTTAATATAATAATATTATACTGACCTGCTGTGAATCGAGAGGGTGTGCCGAGATGAGTACGACTGCGGACAGCGCTAGCACCAAAACTCCAGCCAGATACATTTTCTGTAAACACAAAAAATACATTAATAAAATGCACATGATATTCTTTGAGTAGTTCATATTAAAATCAATAAATATTAAGGAATGGATCCTAAATTGCCATCTTGAAACAAAAGCGATATTTTTTTTAGAAAATTGTGGTAAGTGCAGAAATTAACACTTAACATATAAATGTACTTAGATAAATTAGCAGCAAAGCTAGCCAAGTGAAAAACAACTTTTAACCCTAGCAGAGGTTATTATGTACAACTTTTCAATATTATCAAATAAAAATAAAAATTATTTTAGGAGTTTTAAATTCAATCTTTGAGTACAGACAAGACAATAATAAACAATCTCCTTTAATAATAAAAATAACGAATTTTTAGCGCTGGAATTTTAGAAATTAAAAAACTCAATATTTAAATTTTATTATTTTGAGTTTTGTTTATATGTCTTATTTAGGAGAGCTCCTAAGAAAATTTTGAAGTGAACTGTTTGTTTGAAGTTGAGTTTATTTAGCTCATAAGTTAAAGAATTTTATTTTCATATGAAAAAACATTTTTTTTTATTCATTTTTTTTGTTTAACTATTTATTATGATATTTACAACTGAATTAAAATAAAAAATACATCAAGTGAATGTGTACAAAGGAATATTATCATATGAAAAGGCTTGTTGAGAAAGTAGCCACTGATAGGATTCTAATAATATTTGTACATAAGGACATCACGAGGCCTTCTTCTTTTCAGACGTCTCGGAGGGTTATCAAGAATTGAAGAGGATGTAAGGGTGGAAACGAGAGGACTCGGATGGTTATGAAATTTATTATGGAAGGATATGTATCTGGATTGGGCCAAATCGGAAACATAAGGAACATTAAGGTCTTTATGGATTATTTTATCTGTGACAAAGTAAAGAGCATTGAGGATTTTAAGAAGGATTATGGATTGTAAGGATTGGATACGAGATGGATTCCATGGTTTAGTGGATTCCCATAGCTCAACTCCGTAAGTCCAAATAGGTGTTATTATAGTCATGTATATGAGTCTTTTGTAATTAATTGAAAGTTTGTCCAGTAAGTGTTGCAGTAAGCGAAAACGTCAAGCAGTTTCTGGTCTTTTCAGTCTTGTATGAGGATTCTAAGTGAGATATTTGTTCAGGTGGAGTCTTAGGTATTGGATTTATTTAATAGGGATAAGTGAGGAGCTATTACAGGATACTGTAGGACAGGAAGTCATAGGTTCACGACGAAGGCTAAAGGTAATTTGATGAGATTTATTGGACTTTATTTTAATTATTCAATTTGACACCACTCCTCAAGGTTTGTGGTGTGTGATTGAAGATTTTGGGATGGAATTGATGGGTCGTTATTAACTTATAGGACACATGAGCATTGGTGGTGATGCAAGTGTTGGGATGTCATCTACATAAACAGTATAAAGAATAGGACCTAGGAAAATTAACTTGAGGAATAAAATAAAGAAAACTTATAATTGAAAATCTACTTTCTTCTCAAATATGGTTTCATCGTATTGTTAGACCATCAATGATAATAATTTTATAATAAAATGTAGAGATATAATAAAGATGTAGTAATATAATAAAAAGTAGCTGACTTTAGATGATATTGTTGGGATATTATATATTGCATTAAGTGAGGGGCACACATAAAAATATATTTTTCTTTTACTATATTATATATTTTTTCACTATGGAATATATATAAGAAGTGTGATTAAATAAAATGGCTTGGAAATGGCTTACTAGCCGACATAAAAATGGAAATAAATATGGTGAAGTAAAAACACAGCTTTACTTTATATTTGTATTATATATTTTTTAATATAATATTTTTTTATTATTTGTCTTTCTCATTGTTCCAGGAATATCTACGAATGTGTGGTTATAAAAAAAAAATACATCGATGTATTAATTTATGAATATATAGTATTTTGGCGGTGTATAATCTATTTTAAAAATTCTAAAGTTTTCTCAAATCAATCTATAACTCTAAATAACCCAGTGACCTGCTCTAGAAATTGGTTTAATAGATTTGGACCATTTTTATTTTTGAGTTTCCTTATTTTTAATCATCTCAAAAGGGAAAGTAACCCTTTTAGCCTGGTCTAACAAGTTTGTTACACAAGAGTTTCAGGTCGACAGAAACGTTACTGCCTCTGCATCGACCTAGATGATAAAATTATTAAGTCGTTTATCAGGATATATATATATATATATATATATAAATATGGGATATATAATATGTAATATATATAATATATAATATATATATATATATGGCCATGTTTTTGTAGTTATTATTTAACAATAATGTTTTAGAAGTTAATTAATGTATATTATATTTGCAACTGAATGAATATTATGTTTGACTATTAATACGTTTTACATTGGTTAACCTTCTCTTTTTTTTTATAAAAATATTTTATATAATTAATTTCTATTATAGGGTGCAATCAAGAACTTAAGCTTATTTAGCATCTTGAACTATAACATATACAAATCTAGAAAACTGTATGAAGTCGAATGAAGAAAAGAGGTTTCGCCATTATTTATGAACATAAACCGGATTTTTATGCAATTGCATATTTTGTTTACAAGAATTTTTAAACGGTCGATTAAATGTCTTTATGAACTACTGTTTATTCATATGCAGTTAGACAAGTTTTATTTGATGATAAATGCATAGTTTGAAAAATTCAAAACAGTGAAAGAAAAATAATTAAAGATAAACAATTTTAAAGGAAATATTAAAGTTGAAATTTCAGATAACAATCTTAGCACTATTTTTACTGAACAAAATAATAATAAGCGAAATAACACTACCTTAAATAAATTACTGTTTTACAATATGGATTCTTTTCATTTCATAACATCATCCAAGTTTCATGTTGCGTATGTTACTTATTTACTTTACAACCAGTAATATTTTTCTTTATTTAAAAATTCATCGTTTTAAATACATGATTAATTGAATTCTTAGATCGAGCCTTACAATGTCAAAGGTGAATCAATTTTAAAACTTGTAGTTGAAGAGAAGTTTGGTTTCGGTGATCAGTAAAAAAAATGTAAAAGTAAATAAGTATATTTTTTAATATGAACATAATTACTTAATTTTATATTCTTTTTTACAGGTAATCCCAACCAATCTTCTCTTTAATTATTCACTACAGTCAACAATCAATCCACAATTTTAAAACTCATATTTATATATAATCATTTTCAAAAACAAGTTTCATTGAAAACCACACCCTGATAATTTCAAGTGAGTATAAATTTGCTTCCTTAATGGAAATTAAAATAGGAAGATGATAATTAATCCATAATTAATTTTATAGAATAACATGTCACTGACTGCTACATTTTGTTTTATTTGCTTTGTTCAAGTTGTGAATTATAGTCCGCGGTACAGACGCCATTCACAAAGTTTTATCAAATCATTAAGATCTATCTAAAACTTTGTGAATGGCTTCATAGTATCGTTCTTCATTCTTCAACTTACCTACAACGGTTTTATATACGAAAACTATCGGAAATGGGGCGTTTTCAAAATGAAGATTGGAAAACTTTATCTAATTAGCGAGGTGCTAAAAAATCATGAATACCCATTTACTTTTCACTTGAATTTAAACATAATTTGATCAGAAATCCTAGAAAAAATATGGTATAGAAAAATATTGATCTCAAAATTTTTGTTCGCCATCCTTTTTCTCAATTTTGTAGTCAACATATCTCATGATTCAAGTGGAAAGCAAATTGGTATTTATGAGCTTTTAATGTCTCATTTCTTAGGAAATTTCTTAATTGAGATATATTACAATTTGTCACATTTAAGGACAATAGTAATAGTGATAAAGAGTAGGTCATTCATACTATGCACAGTAAATAAAAATAAATAAACAGCAATATAATAATACTGAAAGTAAATGTAATGTATCATTAAATTAATTAATATAACGAGAAAACGTCCCGTTTCTGAGAATTTTCGTAGATAAAAAAGTTGTACCGATGTTAATAAATAGATAAATAGTCTTTACTTCAGACTATTAGCTTATAAAGACAATAATTGCTAATTTTATTATTATATTCATAATTGTAAGTGAATATTATTTTATAAATGGAAAAATCCAAACAACAAAGTCTCCAACATAGGCGTGAATAGTTAAATTCCCAACGTTTCGACTATTCAGGCATCATCATGACAGAAAAACCAAGATCATATTTATGCAGTAACAACAAATGAAATTAAACAAAAAAAAAGCTCTTTTTTATATTTATTCTTATTTTAGTAGTATTACTAGTATTATTAGCTGTGTATCCACTGAATATGAGTTTTTAAAAGGTGTAACAGATTATGTTTTTGTCTATTAAATAATATGGTTTTAGTAGATTTAAATATTTATAGTTTCTTGTATGACATTATGAGCAATTATATCAATAACAATTGGGGATTTCTTTTCTTGATCTTTATTTGGAGATATGAAACAATTTTACAAACAGATAGTTCTACCACTAGTGTTGCCCAAAATCGAGCACTTTGCAAGACCAAGACCAAGACCGCCTAAATGTTGCAAGAACAAGATCAGGACTAGTAAAAAAATTAAAAATTCAATTTTTTATTTAAAAATTAAGGCAAAATAGTTATTAATACTCGACAATTTTAGTTACTATTTGTTTTCTTCTTTTTAAGGTTTCTTCTTTCTAAAAAATTACAGTAATATCTCTATATTAATAAGCTAATAAATAACTGTAAGACTGTTGCGAGACTCTTGCGCAAGACCAGGACCATGATCAAGACTGAGATGGCAAGACCAAGACTCGTCTCGGTCAAGCATTTGGGCAACACTATCTACCACCGATTTTAGTTTTTTGGCTCAAACTACTTAATGCAATTCCGTGAATGTTTTGAAACTTTTTTGGTTGAAAATTGATCTCAAAATATAAAAAAAATGTATAATAAAATTTAAAAAAAATTATTTTTCCCTTAAAAAAAGTTTAATGGGATCAGGATGTGTTTAACGCTTATAATATATACAATACATGTATTATTTTGTTTTTTCGAACCGAGTAGAGACAAAATATTAGGTATATTGCAATCTCATATCTATTTATCTTATATTTTAAATATTTTATATAACGTATATTGCATTCAGAAGATTTTGAAACAAAAACGAAAGAAATTCGGATAACCAGTCTTACTAAGTAATTTAGTTTCGGTTTTACAATTTTCATATCGATAAATTTTTAGAAATTCAATAATTACACTAATTTATTGGATTTTATTGAAAAAAGGCACAATTTTATATATTGTGTTAATATAAAATATATAATTATAATTGAAATATATTTAATTAAAAAGAAATCACTGGTATTTAAAAAAAATTAAAACGATATTGTCGTCTTGTATGAACTAAACCAAAATATCGTTTAATAAAAAAAATTTCTTTCCTAATCTAATAAGTCGAAATAGGCATTATTATAGTGAAATGAGTAAATGAGTAAATGAGTCTTTTATAGTTTAATGGAAGCTTAGAGCGTTTGCCTAGTAAGTGCTGAAGTAATCGAAAACTCCTAACAATTTCTAGTCGCTTTTGTCATGAATGAGAATTCCAAGTAAGGCGTTTGACCAAAGTCCTAGGTAGCGGATCTGTTTAAGAGGGATAAGTGGAGTATCATTTAAGGACACTGGAGGACAGGAAGTCACGATAAAGGATGAAGATGATTTTATGAAATTTTTTGAAATTTATTTTAATCCTAAAAAAAAATCATGTTACTTCTATCACTAAAGGTAATTTACCATTCGATCCAGTATGAAAAATGGCGTAGAGTCTGAACCCATTCAAATTATTTTAAAGGAATATCGGGGTGAAATACCCATGTCTGGAGTAGCGAGTGGTTAGTCCCACTGTACGCTGGGTGGACAGAAAAGGCACATCTCTTAACTACGAAGTAGATCGACAAATTTCCAGATCAACCATGCACTGCAGCCATCTTTTTAAAAAATGTACTTTGCCTTGAGGGTCCTTGATCAATATTTAGATTATTAAATCCAATGTTTGAAACTGATAGTTTTAAGGTTATGAAACCTGGGCCTATGAAAATAGTTTGACATAAATTGCCTGTTGAGGTTTACGGGCTCAGCGTTCCATTTGGCACAAAGCCATCACCGCGTTTGCGCGGAAGAAATATTGAATGCAGAGAAGGCGGCGATGCAGGAGGCCATGATATAACTTTACTTTCTACATTCACCTAAGCTTTAGCTGTGGAGTAGGCGATGGTTACCGGAGAAACCTCTTCAGTGCAATTTTCACTGGAACAGACGAGGGCAGACAGTTTTGTGAAAGGTTTCACAACCATATTATATTGGATTAATTTTAGAACTGCAACGGAAAGAATAGTAGGAACACTTATGGCAGAAAATGTTATACAACAATAGTTAAAAAATAAAAATTAAGTTGAAGTCTGTATGACAGGCTGGTGACGATGTCAGTTGGAAGGGGTATAGGCGACAAAATCTCCGGTATACTGACTTCCGGGGAATCCGATGGGATATAACTAAGTCGAAAATATTTAGAACAAAATCTTTCTTGAAAGATTATGTAATAAGATCTTTTCAATATATCATGAATGATTTTACATAATTTTATTCTACTCTGACATCATAGCCTAATTTATAAATATATATGTTGTTTATAGAGAAAAGAATGGTTTCACTATTGAGTCTCGTTAAAAAAGAACCTTGAATATTAATCTGTTCGTTCAAACTTTCACAGAAAAAAAGGCAGAAAGAGTGTTGTAATTAAAGAATACTTCATGCTCCACTAATGTTATTATGAACTTTTCACTTAATTAATTAATTTATTAATTAAATTATATATTATATCATTAACCGGGCATTACCAACGACTTACAGACCAAAATATGTGCCTCTTTTGGACGACGAACATACAGGAAACCAATCCATTTAAAATTTTACAAAAAAATTAAGATTGAAGTCTGAAAACGATTGGATAATAAACAGAAATTCAGTAGGATGCGTTTTTCATGAGAAAAATTGGAGAGTTATTGAAGGGATGGCAAAAGTGTCTCACAAGAAGCCAGAAATATAAGCTCCATTCATGTTATCCCCTCACATTATAATATCCCATAAGCCAACAAATAACTCTAACATTACTTTATTTAGAATTCAAATAAATGCCTGTTTATTGCTCAAGATTCCTTTTGATAATTCAGTTAAATATATTTCTTTTTAACTGGATTAATTAGCTTCAATCAGTTTAATGTTAGTTACAATTGCATTTTAAAAATGGCTAAGATTTTAAACATATAAACAATAACTTTTGTTTTTTGGTTGGTGCTATAGACCATTTAAATCTTTGGCCGCGTTCTGAGGTCTTCTTACAAACAACTTGGTCTCCATGGTGCAGCGACAGGTCACCCCTAACTCCATAGCCGATCCCTTCGGTACCAATCTGGGAGTGTCCTTCCAATCGATTCCCTCTGGTTCAAGGACAGTGACAAATCGGTCTAGGTCCATGGATTATGGCAGTTCAGAGTTAGCAGTTGCACAAAATCCTATATTTTTTTCTCTGGAACAGACCATCTACGGACCAAACCTGTGGGAGGATACGAACACCCGGAAAAAACAGATCACGATTCGCAGTTGGATAGTCCTAGACTATTAAATTAGATATGTTCCTAACAGTGATGTTTTTAGAAGGTTATTAAACGATTTTATTTTCAAAATAAACATTTGTTTTATTTATGGAAATAAATATTATGATTTAATATGACTTGGAAATAACTACATTATTTACAAAAGTATTGAGAAAGAATTATTAAAAAAAGAAAACAAAATGTTGAGTACTTACGATATGAAGATTATCCTCTTTTGTAAGTTTCTAATGCGAACTCTCCCTCGGTCTTGGCCTGTAAACATAAAATAAATTAGCAAAAGTATTTACTATTAAGTTAAAAATCAGGTACTTGAAACCTGCTATAATTATAATTTAATAATTGATCTCTATAAAAACAGTACAATAGAATGTAAAATTACAGTTTTATTTTCTCATATTGGTATGCTTTGATTAGGAACAGTGACGTTACCAACATGAAGCAGTTGGAGCAAAAGAAAAAAAACACCTAAACAATTAACATAACTAACAATTAAAAAACATTTCAACTTCAGGATATAATGCAAAAACACAATAGAGGTGGGTTTTTTTTTTTAAACCGACAATGCCTTAATCATTCAATTATAAATACGTCAATAAAATTGTTTCAAACAATTTAAAATATCAGAGATAAACCTAAAATGTTTCTTTTATATTATTTAGGTTCTTTTATAAATATAACACACTGATATAATTTGTATATATTACCTAGTTTATGTATTATTTTTACTTGTAATTGGAGTGCACTTATCTCAATTAAAATAAAACTAATAGAAACATCATAGGTTGTTTATTTTTAACCTAACGATATTAACCTTTTCGCTTGTTTTTTCAATAAAATAAGTGAGATTGACTAAACACTGTCACATTAGTTTCTGCCAGACTGGCCATACTAGTATATCCAGTATATCCCTATCTAATTTTTTTTTCGTTGCACTCTGCTTAACTGCCTTTTAATCTATACAGTGGTTTCCCTAGCCAGGGGAGAGGGCGGGTGATCAATGTCAGAGTTAATCGAGACGCCAACTCGTAATTATTTTATCTCATAACTTCTGTATCGTTACTCCACAAACCTCAACAATGTGATACATTACTACACATAGTAATGAATCCTTAATTTAATTTTTCTTTTCAGGGCTTTTTTATTATTATTAATTTTTATGATTTTATAACGAATATCCACATCATCATTCAATTAACAATCGATTGCGCAAGTTGAATTTTCTCATCGTATTCATGAAGTTTCTGTTTCTTCTTCAAAGTTCAGAATTGTTTGAATTTTATGTTATTAGGGCGAGTTTCTTTTTATAACACAACAAAAACCGGAAGTGAATCTTAAATTACTCTTGCCCTACTGGCCAGTCCCTATACTGTTTTTCTAAACAAAATTATATAACTGAGCACATAATTGGGCTATTATATAAAAGATAAGGTAGATATATTAAATAAAAAATTATACTGAATTCGACAGAACAGTTATCTAACTCGAATGACATTACTTAGGAATTTTTCTTAAAAACATGTACTAGATTGATAGATGAATTTTTTTCTATTTATTATAGATAGATAAAATAACTTCCAAGCATTCATTGATAATTAAATTATTTAATAATTAATCAGTATAAATAGAAAAAAAAGAAGTTAATTAATTATTTGTTCTTCAAGGTTAATTTTTATTATTTTATTTTTTAAAATTAAATTTTCATCAACTAAGTAGCTGAATATGGTTTGCCCAACATCTTATTAGATGCTTAAGGACAAAAAAAAAAATATTTAAGAATAAAATTAACATTAAAAAATTATGTTTGTTCGTTTATCTTTGCCTGTTTTGAAATACTATACTATAGGTCGTCGATTTATTGCAAAAAATCACTAAATGCATTTTTGATATAGATTTACTTGAAAATATGTTTTTGTGAATTTCTACTTTATTTATTTAAATAAAAAAAAACCTTATGTTCGTGAAAATGACACAAACCCTTTTATTTGTCATATTTAGTTAAACTAAGCGCACAACGTTTTGTTTTCACTAAGAAAATATTCTTTAAAGTTCTTAATTAATTCAAGTTATGAAATGTTACTAAGGGCCAGTTGCTTCTACTCAGTAAAACTTAGGTTAAGCGTTATCTAAGATTAAACCAAGTTTAATCTTGATCCGTCGACCTTAGAAAACTGGTTTTTTAGATAACGCTTAATCTAAGCTTTACTGAGTTGGTACAATTGGCCCTTAATGACTTTTAGCAACTAACCGACGATGTATGGAATTGATACTGATTGAGAGTCAAATAAAGTGAGATTTGTACAATAGTCCCTTGCTTTCTTTCTTTCGAACTTCCAAGCAAACCGCATGAGCCTTTTATTGGTTTAAGTTGTCCTACCATTTTCAGATGGTGTTTTGATTACAGACAGACAGTCACCAAATCAAATTTGATCCTTGACGACTACAACGTAAAACGCTAGTGATTTTTTTAATCTGACGATAACATTTTTGTTAACTTCCTGCGGTTATACAAACCTTTCTTAATTTCGGTAATGTGGAAGTGAAAAAACCATGAACGTTTTTTAAATAAAATAAAGTTTCGATTAAGAATTACAGTTATAAATATCAAAGAAAAATAAGATTTCATTCTTTTTATTTCAAAGTTAACTATCAAAAATAACTATTACTGTAATTCATAGCAATTGTGTGTAATGATGAAAACATTTCCATCTAAATAATCTATCTTTTAACTATTCAACAGTAATTTATAAAGAACCATTGTAGTAACCTATATTTGTCAATTTGTTTATATTAATATTTATTGTTAGTAAGAAAGAATTTATATATATATACATTTAAAAATAACTCTGTTTATTTATTATCAGGGATGAAATCAGAGTTTTCACTATATTTATTTTAATTTCTCTTTTGGCTCTTCAGATTTACCCTTTTTTTCCACAGAACGAAATTTAAAATCTCTTCCGACCAAATATATTCATAAAAATGCGTAATATTATATATTATTCAGCACAATAACTGGAGCGATCTTGGATCAGAGTACTAACACTACACTACAAGAAACTGTACAAGCAGGAGAAAGACCAATAAAGAGGTGATTACAAAAATTGGTCAATAAATATCAAAGCACGGAGGTTAAGATGAGCTGGGCATGTAGCTTGGAGCAATCCATCTGGAAGCCTCTACACGACAATGAATGCCTCAATAGTAGGCAAAAGAACGCGTGGAAGGCGAAAGAAGACAGATAGATCGAATCTGAGCTGCATGCAGATAACTGGAAATCAATAGCCCAAGACAGGCAGAGATGGAGTAGGCTAGTTAAGGCTGCAAGGGATCTGGAGGGTCTGTAACCTAAAAGTCTGAAGGTTAGAGAAAAACAAACTGATTACTTCAACATTTTGTCGATGAGTTCGCTCGCGGTTATCGTCGAACTGAAGATGCAAGTCGTTACTCTAAGATGATGCAGCTGATTTCGAGACCACTTTAAGCACACTGTAAATAGAACTTCGCAATAACTCAAGTGTATCTGAAATTAGACGAAGGCGACCGATCTCCAACCCACGTTGCAGCATATTAACGTTCGGTTAAGTTGGGTCAGTAACAATCTCCATCACGTTCACTTCTTTTATATGTTAATAACAGCGTGAACTGACTTATCGAAATATTTGTCAGCTGTACATCGAAACTTTCACTTCTTTTGAGTAAATAAATATCGTAATAAGCATTTCATGCTACGATACTTATGATAGTCAGCATTCCTTGTACATTAGGGGATTATTGAGAACAATAACACAATAATTACAACAATACAAATTAAACTATAGTGATTAATTTGAAGCACTTGTGCAATCAAAATTAAATTAATTTTAGTTTTCAGTTTTTCCTAGGTAAATCGCCTTTAGTGTATTTTAGGCCAAAATATATCATTTGTCACGTGTTTCGGTATTTTTCTGAAAGAATCTGTTTTTGTGCGGATCTTGAAACCAGATGCCAATGCGAAGTAGTGATTCGGTACTCGTACCATAAAATTTAAATATAGAGTTAATTCCATTTTAAGTATACTAATAATGCGCATAAAATATTGGTCAGAGAACAACTGATAAAATGCTATGAAAATATGTTAATGCATTATATTATCAGGTGGAGGAATACATTTTCCTTTTCTTGGTAGAATTAAAATAGTTAATTCATAATAATGAACCAAAACTTCTGTACAATTTACTGTAGTCTTTATCTTTGCTCATAATGGTCCCATTTAGATTTTTTTTTTATTTTGTTGGAAATTTTGTAATGTATTAATTATTTATTTATTTAATCCATCGTGAATTTCATATTTTTTTATAGCTAAATGAAGTTTGTTTTTTATTTTTTTCTTTGAGATGTGACTAATGGAAGAAGACAATCTTTAAAACTATGGTCCGATAATTGGAACTTAGGAAGATATGGCGAAATAGGCGAAAATAGAAGTAGTTTTGAATGTATTAGCATATGTGATCCATAAAAAAATTAAAAAATCAATAGTTGTAACAGACTTATGGTCAGTTATTCAGGGACTGCAAAATATGTTAACAAGCAAAAAATTATTTGGTGTCATTCAATTCAAGCCATGGACTTAAAAATATATAAGAGACAATGAAAGAGCTGATGGTGGAGCAAAGGAAGCTCTGATTCACCTCATTTAAGATATACATTTCTCAACAAATGGACAAAATAAATTACAAACAAGGTGAATAAAATGAGGTAAGAACAGTGGTTACAACTGCCATTCAATCATCTCCGCCTTCACAAAGAGAACAGTATTGCTTGGATTTAAAAATTGCACGTGCAGTACCGTTTAAAGAAATAAGTAGCATTGAAAAAATCCTTAAATAGTTGAAATTAATAGAATTAATTCATCATATTTAAGAACAGTCGTCGCTCAGAAGGCCTCAGAAGTCGAAGCGACGTTAAATAAAACAATAAATAAAAAGAAATTCTATTACCAAAAATATATTTATATATTTTTTGTAATTATTACTTCAGATTTGTTGTTGTCTTGGTTATACTTTAAGATTAAATTTGGAATTTTAATTTGGCACAAGATTACATTTATAATTAAAAAAAATATTATTTGATATCTTTTAGACGAGTTAAAACTTATTTAATACTTGGATCACCTATTAAGAACATTTATCTAGTGTAACTTTCCGCACCTTATCTATTTAAAAAAAATAACCCGGCTTTTGCTTCTGACATTCCCTCCCCTTCTCTTTCATTAT